CAGACCAAGGGCGCCGGAAGTGGGGGGGCCAGGGGGCCCCCCCACTTTTGAGCCCTGCCCTAAATGTTCGCAGCGGCGGATGCCGTGGAACACTGTACAAATCCCGTTTCAATCCCCTCTACTCTAAAGTCGCATCTAAAACGCGATCTGATATAGCTGTGTATATTTTGTTATGTTTGATTGTTATATTCAATCTCATTAGCTACAGGCATTTTTTAAGCTTGTAAAGCTCTCACTCGCCACTCTGCTGTTCCTCAGCGCCGCTTCCCCTCCCTCTGCTGAAATTATGAATGTAAGGCGTATAGTAATCATAGATAACACGGCAGGGTCCGTTACAGTTTGTTTTCATCTGATTTCAAATAAACAAAGTCTTGGCTTTCAGAATATTAAACTTGTTTCGGCAAATTCAGATGATGAATACAACTTTGAAGCTTGTAGACATAATTACAAGCGGAGAACGGAGTAACGTAGCGTCACAGCAGGCGTAACAACAGCCGGGGTTTCTCCTGAGTGTTTCCCCGGGGAAACAAACACAATACACACACAAACGCAAAAATACACAAACACACACGTATACACACACACTCGCGGGCTTTCCCCAGACCAGTAATCCAAACGAAAATATCTTCCCTCCGTTTTTGATAATTTGCTCCGCTTCCAGAGAAGGGGAAACTTTGAAGGCCTTTTTCTCAAAATGATGACTCGGTAACAGTCATTATATAATGTGACATATTTTGCTTAATATTTGGAGTACAAAAACAATCCTGATATCATTAGAAAGCTAGCCTTTTCTATTTCATCACACTGGCTGACATGATTCTCCAATGTTCTTTTAATATATGCATCCTCGTTGAATTGTGACTGCATGTCCTCAAAAGAACACTCACAGTGTCTGCACTTACTGTAAGCAAAGCCCACTCCCTCTTTGAACCCTGCAAGTTCATGCTGTGCCAGGGTGTCGCCACACAGAGAAACCATAGCACCATGTATTGTTTTCTCCCCGTTAATAGTTTGCATTTTAACACCACTGTACAATGCATCCATGTCTTCCTTTATTCTATTCAATATTACATCTACACCAGATTGACGGAGGTCTGCTGATTTAGCCATTGCAAGTAGCCTAATAGCTTAGACCTGTATTTTGGATTTATATTACCTAGGGCAGGGGTGTCAAACTCAATTTTCATCACGGGCCACATCAGCATTATGGTTGCACTCAAAGGGCCGGTTGTAACTTAAAGACTATATCATTAATTAATATAACTTCATAATTAACTACGTCTGAAAGCAGAAGTCTAGAGCAAATAATTGCAAGTCTCTTCAGTAAGAATGTCACAATATGATTTTAAAAGAAAAGCCACATTCTGGAAAAACATTGATTGTGACATTTTGAAAAAGAGAAGTGACATTTTGAAAAAGAGAAGTGACATTTTGAAAAAGAGAAGTGACATTTTGAAAAAAAAATCTATTTATGAGAAAAAGGCTAATTCTAAGAAAAAAGGCATATTTGGACAAAAAAAGTCAAATTCTGAGAAAAAGTCAAATTTGAGATGCATTGTGGGACATGTAGTTTATGGACATCGTGCTTCTGTAAATCGGCATGTAACCGTATAATAAACATATTACATTCTTTCAGAGCTCTTGCGGGCCACATGAAATGAAGTCGCGGGCCGGATTTGGCCCCCGGGCCTTGAGTTTGACACCCCTGACCTAGGGTGTAGTACACCATTAACAACTTGTTCTTTGATGAAAAGGATCCTAGTGGATTACAGATCTCTATTTCGTCTGTATACAGAATAATCTGCAGTGCATTTGGTTTCTCTGAAAATAAGGGATGAGATTTTAAAAGAGAACCATCAACAAGGTCATGAAAAACCCTTCACTGCACCTCTGGGGTCCCTCTTCAATCATAGTCAAAATCCTCGGATGTAATAGGAACTGCTCTACACTTTTGACTAATGGTACATAATAAAATAATTTGTCTTTGATGACAAAATCTGTTGATCCTCCACGTTTCTTCCTGCATATGGTTCGAGCAATTGGAATTTCCTCTGCATCCACACAACAAAACTGCTTCCTAATAACACTGTTCTGGCGAAATGTTGTTGAAACATTAGCAAAGGGGTCAATGAAACCGTCAAATATACCCATTGCATCTTTTTCAAGTTGATTGGTTGTACTTCCTGAATTCTTCTTTAGAACTTCCTTCATCTGCGTCCTGAGGTTGTCCAATAGTGATGATTGATACTGCTGTACCCCAGCAACAATGTCATTCATGCCTTTCTGAAAGTGATGTGATCAATCTTTGATGTTGGAACACATTATCATGATCACTGTAGCTTTATGTGATATACAGTTTTGCTTATGACATAGACACAACAGTGAAGTGGATAACCACTAAGACTGAACTCGGCCATCAGTGAACCTATTAACTGCTGAATGTGTACAATAAGTAGCCAAATACTGTGCTCTGTTCTCATGTGTAAGGAAGCATCTTACCTGTGACAGACCATGCTTGGATCGGGCATTGATAACAAAGGCAGTGGCATGTGTTGTCAGATCCTACAATTAGAGATGTCCCGATCCGATCACGTGATCGGGGATCGGAGCCGATCACGTGATTTTCAAAAGATCGGAATCGGGAGCAAAAAATCGGGGATCGGAATTTTTTTTTTTTTTTTTTAATAAAATATTTTTCTTATTTTATTAAATGTTACAAAACAAAAATGACCATGTTCACGTCTTAAAGTCATCCTGAGGCCTTAGTTTTGGTTTAAAATTACACAACATCATGTATGTGTTGCTTCTTTTGGGCTTGTTTTCATAGACCTGGTTGCTTATTTCTCTCAAATCTGGCAACAGAGTGGGCGCAGTGTCTAATAGTAGCAGTAAGCTAACGAGAGGCTACGTTCAGCTGGTGTAACGAGAGGCTACGTTCAGCTGGTGTAACGAGAGGCTACGTTCAGCTGGTGTAACGAGAGGCTACGTTCAGCTGGTGACTCGGGAGTCGGGACAGAGAAAATGTCAGGAGTTTGGAAGTATTATAAAATTGAAAGCGAAGGCAGTGTAACAGCCAGATGCAATGTTTGCAAGGCGGAGGTTCCGCGTGGTGGAAAGAACAGAGCTACGTTCAACACGACCAATCTAATACAAACACCAACAACAACACGACGAGTACACAGCGGCCACTCAGGTAACGGCACTGAAACAACCGACACTTTCAGAGACTTTTCAAAGGAAAGAGAAACTGCCCCAGAACAGTGTTTTCACTGTTACACTGGCCAAAAAAATAACAGCCAAGATAGCTGAATTCATCGCGTTGGATGACCAGCCGTTATCTGTTACCTTTTTTTTCTCTTAATGCATTGCATAAAGATCGGATCGGGAAAAATCGGTATCGGCAGATTGTCAAAATCAAATGATCGGAATCGGATCGGGAGCAAAAAAAGGTGATCGGGACATCCCTACCTACAATACAAAATGTAGTAACTTGACATTTGCAGGTATAACATTACTCACTGTGACAGAAATATATAACCATTAAATGTATGCACATCTGATGATAAAAACACTGGTGAGATGTGGTGAGCAAAGATAGATAATTTAATATGTTGTAACTCTGACCAAAACATATCAAACATTAGTATTCCAACAAGACAATAAGCCGTTGTAACTCTTTATGTGTTCATTTAGTTTTGCTAGTACAGCACATAGAAATACATCTTCACATATACCTCTAGGTTTTATGAATCATTTGGTGAATTTAAATGAAATATTTTGACATAATATTGATATATAAATGATATGCTAGGCCAATATTAGCCACTACTATATCGACCTTTATTTGGCATCCCTTAATTTTCAGTAGATAGTCAACAACAAAGAAAACATACTTGGTGCACTGTGACAGCTCCATCTTGGTCGATGCCCATTTGCTCTTCAACTGAGTCAGGTGTGTGAAGGTTCTGATCCTTGCTGCTGGAGTCGGCTGGAAGCTGATCGGGTTGAATGTTGTCCTGTGTACAACATATCAAAGAAACAAGATTGTTTGAAATTGTATTTAGCTTCACTAAAAGAGCAATTTAAATATTGAATTCCTATCTATCTAAGATTATTTTCACATTAAACAAACTTTGGGGGTAAGAGTGATTTCAGCAACAATTACTAACTTTAAGTAGTAGCACTTTGTCCATTGTCTGGGTAACACTCTTTATTACATTTTTTCAGTCCAGAAAACAAAACCATGAAACTTTTTTTTCTAATCAAATCTGAAAATGTATTTATTTTGTTTTAAGTTTAATAGTGGGTAAAGAATTTGGGATGTATTTCTGATTAGCTAAAACTGTGAATTCAACAAATCATGTGCAGATCCTGACAGTGATGCATGCACCTTGCAGGATCTTGCAGAGTGAAAAAGTGGAAAACCATAATTTTTGTGATTTACTGTTGTTTGTAAGTGTGGCCAAACGTTACCAATGTAATGCATATTTTGTAACGGTTTTTTCATCCCCACAAAAACACTACATAGCTAACTGCTGAATTAAAAATATATGGCTGACAGATGCCGCCTGCTTGCAGCCTAGCAGATTGATAACTAAATAATAACTAAATGTGGCTGATCAGTATTGGCTAACGCTATCTGTAACATCACAAAACGTACGAAACTAACCCTGTATCCAAGTTTTTTAAGCACGTGGCCCAACCACTGTAGCTAACAATCTTAGCTGACTTAGCAGACGTTACTTACTTTTTGCTGCGGTGCTTGGGTTTCCTCCTGTCGGTTTCCATCTCCACGTGTGGCGTCGCCAGGTCTGGTGTCTTCAAGAAGATGTTGAACGTGTTTTCTCTTTACATGATGGTAGAATGAGTTGTACACTCTATATTCCTCAGTGCATCCATCAATGCCACAGAGCAACCTGAAGTCAGGGCTGTGACTGTGCAGTCGATACGCACCGCCAAAGCATCGTGAAATCTTCCAAAAGTTAAAGTTATTAAAACGTTTCTGCAGCAGGCCATGTGTTGGGGAAAATAACTAATGAAGTGGGTTTATCACATTCTCTAGCTGTATAGGGGAGGCCAGTGAGTCATGTTCCTATATATATATATACACGTTATAATAATGCCTGGGAATAACTTGTGGAATGATGTGCATCGAGAAACAGATGTTTGAAATGTTACCTATGACCGCATCAGTTATTAATATTCCTAATATTTGCAACTTATACAATATCTCTGTCACCCCTCTTTAAGAATAGTTGGTACCTTCCAATGGGAACCGCGAAGAGGGTCCATTAAGGGCGTGTGTTAGGTCAGGTGCACCTAGCTTCAGGGTTGCTGGCTAGCTTTCCTTCAGGCAGAAGACTGAACCTCCGCAAGTGATTTCACATTTAACTACGCCATGGATGAACATGGAAGAGATATCACATATTCGGGCATGGATCCTATTGCAACTGCAGCATTAAAAGGTAATGTAATTGTGTATTTTATGCTGCACCTCTCCAGCAAGCTTTACATTATTTTAATCGGTTGGACTACAAGTTAGCATGCAAAGTAAGCTAGCTAGCTGGCTACATATCTAGCGTTAACTTAGCTAATATCTACTGTAAGCTGTTAATAACTGCACAAATGACAAATCGTGGTTAACATTTTAGTTGATACTGTATTATTGCCAGAAATAATGTCAAGAAGCAAATGAGCCTTCCACAACTGACAGTAAAGTATTTAGCATAGCCATTTTTGGCGCCCTTCTTTGTTGTAGACAGCATTTCAAAATGCGTTGTTGTATGATAGTGCAGGCTATTGAAACTAAACTGTCCTTTGGATATAAGCAGGCTTGGGACGTAAATTATGCTTATTTGAATAAAGATTTCAAGGTAAAGACACTGTTTTGAAAATAAGTTGAACTGTCTTTGCTCTTAAACATTTGTTTTATTGTACTATAAAACATGCCGAAAATGTATAACTTTTATAGCCTATGAGATTTTACACATTTGTGTTATGGATTGATCCTAACAACATGCCTCGTTTATTCATTTCCCTGGTGCCTTTTTATTTTCATTTGGCCAAAATAACTTTAACTCTGGATGAACCTATTGTAACGGCAATCTTTTAAATGTAAATTATAAGTAAGTGCAATACATGTTTTAATGTTAAAGAAAATCTTGTGAAGCCAGCCAGAAATGTACATTACTCTTTCATTTGATGTATTTAGATAAATATGTTATTAGTTGCTTTTTACCTTATTATGAACTGTGTGGTTAAATCTGTTTCCAGCTGCTAATATAAGCAGAGACATGCTGCCAAGCCTCTCTAAGGAGGACTTGCGCGATCTCCTTCCCAGGCCTGAGCACTTCAGAAGAAGAAGAACCATTTGGAGACTCACTCATGATGAAAATGAGGTAATTCCAGATTCTAACATTTGAGGGACTTTAAACCTGTTACCAAGTAAGCCTTTCTTAGTCATCATGCAGTTATTTGAAGATACCATGATATGCATCTTTTATACAGGGCCAGGAGACAGACCTGTGTAGACCGAGTACCTCTCATGGGACTTGTGATTTCAGCCCTATTCCCACCCCCCAACCTTCCTTGTTTCCCTCCTCCTCCTGCACCAACCCCTCTCCATCCCCCGTCTTTTCTCCACCCTCCTTCCCCTCTCAAAGCCCACCACCCCAACATGGTGCCAGCAGAACCGTACAGCTTCCTAGTCCACTGTATGTCTTATACACAGACACAGAATTGGAGCAATCACGAAGCACCTTTTCTGAAAAGCAGCGCGCTGGAGAAGAAGGAGACTACGTCCTTTCCAAAGATCTTCACTGTCGATTAATCAGGAATACAGTCACAAGCATGCTTTCCATTAAAAGAGCAGCTGGGGATGACTTTAACTATCCATGCAGCCGTGAACTCACTGTAATGGCGAAGCGTCTAATCGAGTACTACCCAATGCTTCGGGACAGATCTCAAAACAGTAGAGCTGAGTGGGTATATCCCTATTCAAGTGTTCAACTCATCGTTCAGACAAAGCACTGCAATCATTTGCCTATCAAACTGGGAGTGATGTGTTTCAGTTCAATAAGAGCTCTGTGCAACTGCTTGTATGGTGTATTTTGTTTGATACAAGTTTGTTTAATGTGAGTTATAACACAACCTGTTGTGTGTGTGTCTTGTAAGGAAACTGTGAAAAAGCAGCTTTTGAAAAGGGTCCAGAATGTGACAACCCCCAAAAAGAAGCAGGGTTCAACTCCTTCAAGAAAGAGGCCTAGGAGTTTAAGCTTTCAGAGCAGCCATGAGACGTCCACTGATGAGACTGATGAATCCACCGCATCAACCTTGATCTTGGAGAGATCACCACCATCTCGATGCAGCGCCCCGGAGGTTGAACAGTTATGTGGTAAGTACAGAAATTGAAATAGTAGATGGTTCAATCTCTTCAAGAAAATGTAACAATATCAATAAGCTATTTTAGAACCCTTTTTTATTCAAGATTACTCATCTATGTTTGCCCTGTGTCAGTCACTATGGCTGTTTGTGTGTTAATGTCTCATTTACATTTTAACATCAGAAATGAAAATAGTGGGGTTTATGTTTTCTAGCATCAGAAACTGAGAGCCCACAGTCCCAGGCGAGACACTATAAGACTCTACAGGCGATGTATAAAACCAAGGCCAGACCAAACAAGATGGATGTTGCTCAGCTCCTGGACCTCCAAATCCAAGCCAGAAGGGCCTTCATTGACTCTGATGTTACAAAGGAGCAGGCCTTCCAAGATTCTTAAAGCTTATCCTTGCTTTGGAGAACTGGATCATGGAAGCAAATGTCTTCGTTTTATGTACAACTATGCTTCCTAATTCGGTTAACATTAGACCAAATTTGAAATGAGAAATGGTATGACAATTAAATCAGATCTGTCTCATTATTTATAAATGAATGACTCATATGCTTATTGAATACAAATATTTATTCTGCATAGATATATAAAAACCCTCCACTTATTTAAAAAGAACACATTTCACAAATGTGCTTCTGATACACACAACATTATTTTGTTAGTAGTATTGGTCCACAATACGTATTTAAAAATAGTGTGTGCATCAGACATACATTTGCAAAAAAACACATATTTCTATGTGCACTGTAATATTTTTGTTAAGTGACCATTTAAATCACATTATACACATATTCATATTTTTGGGGAAATTCAGTTATGAGACGAATTACTAACCCTTGGAATGTAGATTTTAATATTTCTCCTATATATTTTCTCTCTCGTTGTCTTAGCTAATGGATAGAGATGTCCCGATCCGATCACGTGATCGGGGATCGGAGCCGATCACGTGATTTTAAAAAGATCGGAATCGGGAGAAAAAAATGGGGGATCGGGATTTTTTTTTTTTTTTTTTTTAATAAAATATTTTTATTTTATTGAATGTTACAAAACAAAAATGACCATGTTCACGTCTTAAAGTCATCCTGAGGCCTTAGTTTTGGTTTAAAATTACACAACATCATGTATGTGTTGCTTCTTTTGGGCTTGTTTTCATAGACCTGGTTGCTTATTTCTCTCAAATCTGGCAACAGAGTGGGCGCAGTGTCTGATAGTAGCAGTAAGCTAACGAGAGGCTACGTTCAGCTGGTGCCTCGGGAGTCGGGACAGAGAAAATGTCAGGAGTTTGGAAGTACTATAAAATTGAAAGCGAAGGCAGTGTAACAGCCAGATGCAATGTTTGCAAGGCGGAGGTTCCACGTGGTGGAAAGAACAGAGCTACGTTCAACACGACCAATCTAATACGCCACCTGAGAAACAAACACCAACAACAACACGATAGGGTAACGGCACTGGAACAACCGACACTTTCAGAGACTTTTAAAAGGAAAGAGAAACTGCCCCAGAACTGTTTTCACTGTTACACTGGCCAAAAAAATAACAGCCAAGATAGCTGAATTCATCGCGTTGGATGGGTTACCTTTTTTTTCTCTTAATGCATTGCATAAAGATCGGATCGGGAAAAATCGGTATCGGCAGATTGTCAAAATCAAATGATCGGAATCGGATCGGGAGCAAAAAAAGGTGATCGGGACATCCCTACTAATGGATGAACTACGGCGGGTCCTCAATCAAGGCAACTCCCACTTCTTAACGGAACTTAAGACCCGGCGGGGGACCTTTTGTGAGAGGGCACAGTTTTATGGAGTTTTCAAAAAGCTCACGAGGCCTCCGCAGCTTGACAAAGGTGATTATTATCTCTGACCATGTCTGTTTATTAACTGACTGCAGGAAACGGAATGACACTTATTTCCCAACAGTAAAGCACTCAATTGCCATGATGAAGGCTTTACCAGAGATGTTCCCATCACCTATGGCCCCACCCAAGAAGTTAAGGCATGCAAGTGAGGCTGTGCTCCACGTCCTTGAGGTAAGAACATTTATAAGAACTTTCTCATGTCGATACAAAGAGTGAAATGTGATCATATTTGTTTGCCTTTTTGTGATGATTTCTTTGTCTGTTTTTGTGTCAGTCTGCAGAAGACCCCAACACCTTTCTTCAGACACGACCACTCTCCAGCCCTGTTGTCATCATCTGCGAAACCAACTGTATACTGGCCATTGGAACCATGCCCGTGCTCATCTTCCCAAAAGAGGACCTTCATGAAAGCGTGATGTATCTCATGTTATTACACCTTTCACCTCACCTATCCTAAGTGCATTGCAACACTTCTGTCTGTGGTGCAGACAGAAGTCCTCTTGGACGCCATTCACGACCGTGACATGACTACTTCATACAAAAAGGCTATGGCCGACTGGAAAGAGTTCATAAGTGATTAGGGCACTTATATATGAGGGGCCGCTAGGGACATTACTCAGAAATACCGTTCACATACACATGTGAAACACTCTCACACACACAACTGAAACCAAAATAATTTACAAACATATGTAAAAATCTCTCATATACACATATAAAATGTTCGCATACACATGAAATCCAAAGTTATTCACATACACATGTGAAACGCACTCATATACACATATACACATGTGATACGCACTCACACCTGAAACGCTTTCACACACACATGAAACACACTGACACACACACCTGAAACTCTCACACACGAAACGCTCTCCCACAGATATGGGATAGTGTGTTTTATGTGTGTGTGAGAGCGTTTCAGGTGTGAGTGTGTTTCACGTGTGTGTGTGAGAGCGTTTCATGTGTGTGAGAGCGTTTCAGGTGTGTGTGAGTGCGTTTCATGTGTGTGAGAGCGTTTCAGGTGTGTGTGAGTGCGTTTCATGTGTGTGAGAGCGTTTCAGGTATGTGTGTGAGTGCGTTCATGTGTGTGAGAGCGTTTCAGGTGTGTGTGTGAGTGCGTTTCATGTGTGTGAGAGCGTTTCAGGTGTGAGTGTGTTTCACGTGTGTG